ACATTACATTTAGAAGAAACTACTTTACTTTGGGGTGAGGGTTAGATAAGAGCTGAGGATTTCAAATGCCTTTTCAATAATCCAGATCTGGGGTTTCGTAAATAGCACTCTGGCCTGCAGCTTGGCAAAGCTGGGTCCCTTTAAAGAAAAACGTTGGTCAGATTTTGAAGCAGCTTGATTGCCTGCGATTGGAGCTTGATAAATGCCGTAATTTAAAGAAATCAGCTAATTTAGCAAACAAAAAATTATCGCTACTTTATATTTTTAAACATTCATAATTTTTATTTTTCCATTGAGAAATAGACTGCGACCCAAAAATGAAAAAGTACTGTTGATCTGGCCATGAGTTCTAAAGAACATGTTATAGAGATTATCATTTAAAAGAATAAATCTAGGTGGAACCATATAACTCTATAAATAGTTTAATTTCAAAATAAAAATTTTTTATGCCACCATAAAAGAATTTTGTTTTGTTGGTTTTTACCAAGCGACCATTAGGAGAACAATGTTTGATTACACAACAGCGCTATCACTAGATCTCTTATCATGATGCCACACTATTGTTACACTACTTCATGGTTACTAGTGATTACAAGTGTCTCGGGTCAAGTGACAGTAGCTCCTGGGATATACAAGGAGGACAGCGCAGAATGGGACCCAGTGTCGCTCTACTACACACAGCAGTCTGTGTTGGATGTGTGGCAGAGCCCCTACGTGCATTACCAGAAGGAGGCTAGAGCACTGCTAGACCTGTTCAAACACCGATGCTTCTCAACTCCTGACAGTTGGAATCCTGATGAACCGTTTGCATCGAGAAGGCCTTTTGTCAACATCGAAGGAAACGCTAATGTGATCAGAGACCACATCGGAAAGAGAGTGGCAGAAGTGTTGAAAGGAAAATTCTTAGTTAATCCGCCGACTTGTCTTGTCCCTCTGAAACATCTGTATGGAGTAGATGGCCACAAACTGCATCTCCCCTACATGGCTCTAGGAATGTACGCGTCTGGTCATGCTGTGAAGAGTCTGTGGGGTAACATGTCTGTAGTCATGACGGGTTACTGGAATGACTTGGCTGCGATGACCATGGCGGATTTGTTTATAAACGAGACCATCCCCAGAGCAGTATCCACCCTGTACGAATTCCCCAAAGATCTCCCCAAACCCGATTTCACTTTTTTTATTGATACTCTTAACCATGTTCCAGACAGCAGGGAAGAAACGAGATTACCTCAGTGGAAAAGTAAATTCACAGATGTGTTTTTAAGGTTCAAAGACATTCGGCTCTCCAGAGTAATTTGGTTTGGTGCTGACAATGTGACTGAAACAATTTTACAACAGATTGAAGAACACGTGGAGACTAACAAATTATTGGAAATACCGTAATATATTGGTTTCTTGATACTTTTTACCCACAAGAGCAGTGTGTAAAACAGCAACAAAGCTACATGTTACATGTGTATCATTTGTGGACATGGTGTTTCATTTAAAGGACATGTTACATTTGTTTCCAGCCTTGAACAGCAGGTTAAAAGTTTTAAGTAATTGAAGTAATGAAAACATACAAGAGAATCAGTAGTGCTTGGTGGAAAATTGAGGGATGTGACTGTTTTGATTCAACTAAGATAGCTTGCTTCTGTTTTGGTCTTGGTAAAGGAAAGCTACTTGCTAAAATTCACCAAATCTGTTAAACTGAGTTAGCTCAACTGATTATAAGGTGAAACAGAGAAAGTTGCATTAACTTTGAACTGAAATTGTTTAATGGCACATGTTGGTTGGTAGGGCATATCCTTTTGCTTAGGACTAAACATAATCAATTCAACTTTAATCAAAATCGTTAAGGCTGTTTTTGTGAAAGTTTTCACTCGCTATTTTATGGATTTTTATGGGAAAAATCACCATTAAAAATTAAAATTTCAGAAAAATAAAAAAAGCCTAGAGATACTATAGACACACATACCAAATATCATCAAAATCGGACACTAGGTGTAAACATCTACACATACAGACACAAACGCACACACATCACTTTGAAAACTATCTTTTTTGGGTTATTCATAAATATAACTCAAACTCAAAAATGTTGACAAAAAACAATACTTTCTCCATATACTATGAAGGGTAATAGTTAAAATAAAAAAGGCAAAAGGAGTTTTAAAAACACATTGTAAAAAACACTTTTATTTACAGACAAAGTTGCTCTGTCGTTAATGTTACTTTGACACAAAAAGAATCCTTACAATGAGATCACCAACTAAAACAGTTGTTTAAGTAACATTAAATGCAAGTCTTTTTATCAATTAACACGTTCGCTGCTGAGCACTAGATGCCGGGACGGCGCCAGTTGCTGAACTAACGCTCGGCCGCTGCGTGACATTGCCACCGATACACTGAATTACAATAAAAACAACAGTAGTTATACTGGATGGCAATGTTCTGCAATAAAACTGGCTTTGGATATAGTACTAAGTGATTCTGATAGATAACAGCACTACCCAGGTTACAGTCGTTAAAGTAGTATCGCTATCTAGCAGGAAAGAGGTAAAACAAAGCCCTGTTCCAAACGACCCTGGTGGTGATTTGGAAAAACTATATTTTTTATTGTCAGAAAAGTACGTCCCCACGAGCTGCAAAGAAATATAGAACGCTTGTGACGTGCTGGCTTATCCATAGCAACGTTAAACAACAATGAACGGTGACGTTCTGGAACGTTCTTAGCTCCTGGCGCCGTGGCCCGGCTGACGTTCCGGAGCGTCCGTAGCAGCGAACGTGTTAATCAGACGCAGAAGACAAAGGAAAATCCATTCTATGACAACATATGTTATCATTTCACTACAAACTAGTATTCATACAATACAAATGAGATCATGCATCATTGATGGAGCCTCAAAAAGTCTAAGTCTAACCGAGATTCTGTAGCTTTCACAGCCCTTACAAGGTTTTCCAAAAGAGACAAACCAAAATTAACAAAAATGTTACTAAGTTATCAATAAATACTGATAATCATCACATTATGTTTTTTTAAATAATGAAAAGTATGCACCGAATGAAAATCGCATTAACTATTTAAATTAAAGCTAAAATATACACAATGGTAATATCAATATATACTGCATTATTATTATGTTTTAAATTTTAATCAAGAGAAGTTAACCAAATGAAAATCACACAAGTTATTCAAATTAAAGCCAAAATATGAATGGTTATATAAATAAATTTAATACTGGCTAAGAATACACATGGTATAATAGACATTCAATTGATTCCATTAATAAAATACCCCCGCCGCAGCAAACCTGCATACTAAGCGAATTTCCATTAACCTGATTGGATTTACACTAAAATTCCTCCCTAAAAATAGCACATTTATTTCCTATTTAAATAGAATTAGTTTAACGAGTACTTAGGTTTGCTGCAACAGGGAGGGTAAAAAAGATTTTTTTTATAAAATGATAATAGTTTAGTGAGAAATAAAAGTATTTTCCAAAATCGATCAAAATATGTTCATAAACAAGCAAACTACAACAGTTGACGTATTCTCCATAAGAATAACATGGGAATTTTAAAATTACAATTTTTTTGAATTTTCTCCGTAACAATTAGGCGCATAATAACGCTTCAATATACTAAATTATTTGTTTTTTTAAGCTCTACAAAATGGTTTGAAAAGAAATTGTGAAATTTTGTGTTTTTAGGGTCAAAAATGGGAAAAACCTATTTTTACCCCATAAAACCCCCCATAAACACCCGTTCCCATAGTCCGATCATGCTGGTTCGCGAACTCATTCAAGTTTATCCCGCCTTACACCTTCAAACCAAATTTTATCAAAATCGGACAAAAATTACTCAAGTTATCGTGCGGATGGACACACACATATATATATATATATATATATATATAAATTTGAACGAATGGTGTTTTTGGCCTCTGGGGACATCAAAATGAAAAAGTAAATCGGTCCCGGGCTTAGGTCTTACCATGAGACCTACGGTAATAGCTACTTCCCTATAGGGAAATTCGCTAAAAACCATTTTTATATTAACCATCTTTAATTCTTAAAAAAGAAGAAGATTAGATTGTGGAAATCTAGTATTACTGTACAACAACCACGGTACAATAAAATAATTGAGTTACAATTACCTTTACAAAATTATGGTGCGGCAGTAGCCATTATTTTAAAATATCCATAAAAATTTCCTTACAGCTAAAATTCACATATACTTCACAAATATACAATATTATTAATTGTAGACAAGCTGATAGTATCCAGAATAGTTATAAGTTTTTAACGAGTTCTTCATATTTATATTCATGGTTGATAATTAATGTTACCTACACTTTGTTATGTGGGCATGCTTAAAAGAAACAAAAATATCTCATATTCTGGAAGAAATCTAAATTACACAAGAGCTCACAGCTATACAAACTGAGATATTGGAAATCTCTTTCAAGATTGGAATGAGATGAAGGGTTTATGGAAAAAAATTAATATAAACATTAACGAAGTAATTTGTGTTATATCTTATCTAGATACTCCTTTAAATACTAAAATAATATATTTCAACAATAAACTGAAAAATAATATCACAAACTAATTTTAGAGTCAATATTATCACATGCATCAAGTGCATTAAAAGCTAAGTTTATACATTGGTTTTAAATATTTCCTGAACCTACTAAAATCACATTAGCACTTTATAAATTTCACGCACAGATAAGAAATCAGATGTGCTCGCGCTACAAACGATGATGACAAACTGGCAATATGCAATATTTTTTGTGATAAATACAAAATAACTTATTATTAGTCATATCCTGTGGAGATAAATGTATGGTTCCCATCGCCGAGCTTGGGAGCGGAAATGCCCTGATTCCTAGAAAACGGCGGTTAAACTGAACTGCTCTCAAAGCAAGGTCGGTTAAAACAAACGGTAATATTTTACGATTGAGAGTGGATAATCTGATTATCGATTAATGCGAGGTCGGTTAAGCCCCTCTTAAATGTATTCACAAGTTATGTTCCATAACTAGACAGTGCACAGCATTGTCATGCATAATCAGCATAATCTATTTGACTGGTGCTTGTTGATGGATTTTAAATCAAATAAAACTTCAATTCTTTCCAACATAAAAACTGGTATTTAAAATAATTATGCTTAAAACTTAAACACGCTTCTAAAACTGTTTGACTTAGTTTATCATATTATACTAGAGTAAAAGAGCTGGTCAAACAGTATCCTAAACTATAAATGGAAAGCCTGTGAAGCTGTACTAAAATTACTTTTTGACATACTTTTGAATGTATTGGTAATCAGATGGATCAGGCAATGCTGTTATTTGATATTTTTTTTACATATCATTAATCTAGGACTTAGAAATGCTTGCCATTGGTAAAGTAAAGTTGCTGCTCAGCCACTGCAATACATAATTATTTCAACACTTTTTATTTAAATTTCACTTGGATGAAGAACAAGAGGGTCAGAAGGGTTGGCAGGGATGCACTGCTAGGCCCTTCTCTGTGTGGAAGCAGTTGGAACATTTATTACAGTAATAGAAACGGTTCCCTCCTGGTGTGGAAACCTGTTTCAAGGGGACGTCAATTTGTACTTGATCGTCTTTATGATAAATTAAAACATGCATATTTAGGGTTTTACTGTCATGGAATGTGGCAACACATTCTGGACAGTGATAGCGAACAGAACTGGCTGACTGCTTTGTATCACTTTTATTACTGGTTCTCATACCAGAGGCTTCTAATTTATATACATTTTCTGATGACTCTATAGCCAATTTTTTAGTTTCCTTGGTTTCCTTTTTCCTTCTTTCACATAATGAAGATTGTACATGAACATTGTCTTTGCTAAAATGTTTTTGCGCAAAATGAATATTCAAAACTTGAACACTTCCATACATTTTATGACAGATGTAACACGGTTGCTGTGCATTTTCATGCCTTAAACTTTGGCATCTTAGAAGAAAAAAGCATTTAGAATTTTTTTCAGCGGTATTTTCTTCACTTTTGATTGAATTTTCAAATCCATCCTTGGTGATACTGAGTACTTGTGCAGAACCTACATCATCCAACTTATCTTCCTTATTCTTACTATGAAAGTTTATTTTTTCTCTGGCCTGCAGATAATTACTGATGGTAACAATATCCAATTTCTCATCTTCTTTAGAGTTAGTGACATTGCTTGTTTTTTTAACTACCTTTTCAGTGGCATCAGGTACTTTATTTTTACAACCAGAGCTGCCTTGTTCATTGCTTTTCGACTCGCTCTTCAAAGGAACAACTGTAGGAGGAACTACTTTTGTATCGATTACAGGGGTTGACTTATCACTAACTTGTTTATCACAGACTTTGATTAAATTTAAGTGTTTCATCTCAACTTTACAGGGTGATTTGTACTTTGTTCCATTTAACTGGTAGTGTTGAGTATGTTTGGAGTCATTGCTAAAACTACATTTTCCATTAGGCGCTTGATCAGATGATATAGACGGCTTCGTACCACCAATCTTCTCTTGAGATTTATTGCTTGAATTTTCCTCTGGGAGGTCATGGCACTTTAATCCATATTTTCCTGTAGTATTTTTCGATGGACTTGATTGTTTCTTCTTCTGAAAAAGATATCATCAAATCTTTTAATTTTTGTGTAAATATAAATGTTGCGCCTGTAGGCTATATTAAAAGACTAATAATCAATTAGTAGGCTTACCTATTTTGTTAGAGGGATGGATACAGACCAATTTGGCATAATATGTTAGATACTTTGGTTAAGATGTAGATAGTATGCAATAAAGAAAATGAGGTTTTGACTTGTGAGGGTTTTGTTTTAGCATAAGTAGGTCATGTAGTATGAGTTAAAAGCAATTATATAACTTTTTGAAAGTCCTGTTAACATTAGTTTTTTTTTTTCTATTCCACATACAAACCTAACCCTCCGAGTGTCACGCGTCATAAAAACGACGCACAACACACTTTGTGTAGGGTCACGCGTCGCTTTTAAGACGCACAAACATCGTTTACGGCGAAGGCTCTATGACTGACTGAATCGGATTGAACTGGATCGAGTTAGGTATCGTTCTTTCCGTAATATTCTAAGCTTTCTCCAGAGGTCTGTCTCTAAGCGCTATTCATTTTAGTTCCGAAAATATTGTAGCAGACAGCTGACGTGCGTGTATTTGTAAACAGCTAGGTTCCCCCGGACCGATGACTGATGTGTTTTATTACGTTTATCATTGTTTTAGTGTTAAAAATCAAAAGTGGTGATATACGTGGTGCATTATAAGAAGATTTAAGTGGTTTTGAAGTGCTGGTTGATGATCCTGAAGAAGTAGGTAGTGATATTGATGTAAATTATCAGCCAGATTCCTAGCTATGGTTAGGCTATGCATTCTTAGCTAAACGCTATGTACTGAAATCCGTTTTTCGCTCATAACTTATTTATTTGATAACTTACCTCGCTATATGATTATATATTTGTAATCCTCATTAAATTTAGAACAAAGTGGCTATTTTCAAATATTTATAGGCCTATAATTTATACAATTTCATTGAGCGCGAACTTATTTTTTTTTTGAAAATTTTCGAAATTATATTTTTTTTTACCTAAAAATTTTTTTTTGAAAAAATGTTCCTTATGTTTTATATATAATATTGAAGCCCATGATTTTCCAAACAAAATGGTATATAGAACATTAGAATTAACATTGTTTTAAGCTTCTCAGATCCGTTTTAATAAAACCTTGCAAAGGGGCCAAAAATAGGTGGACATTAAGGCCTAAACTATGGACACTCGGAGGGTTAAACTCCAAAAGATAAAATTCAAAAATCATATACCGCATTGAGGGGGCTATTAGAGGATTCAGTTATTATAAATTATTAATGAATTGAGATGACGGTGCCGTATAGAACTTTAGATAGATTTTTAAAAGATTTCCGACTGACAGTTATTTTTTTTAGTTCAATGACTTTTGTTATGGTTTAGTAACTAGCTGCATTACCTTTGCCGAGTGTAAAGCCCGAGCCAGTATCTGAGATGCGGTGGAGTCATCTATCCTCCAGCAGATTGGAGGGTTGGAAGCACGTCGACTCTTCTGACAGATGAATGTGGAGGGACAGCCGAGCCGCAGCACTACCTCCACCAGGTGGTCCAGGTCCTCTCGGCAGTGGTAGGGGAAGTGTTGTCGTATAAACTGACAAATATCCTCCACTGTGGCAGCAAACTCCACATTGGCACAGATAGCCATCACAATGAGCACCATGTACGAGATAGGAGGCTCCTCAGCCATCTGGTCAAACAGCGTCATCAACTCCTGAGGAAATAAACAAATCATTAACACTGTCTTGTATAAGACTGCACGGGCTTATACAGGGTGTTTATAAACGCATCACAAGTCATTACGACAACTGTGAGACTTTTTTAACAACAAAACCTGTTTATACAAATCAAATCAAATCAAATCAAATTATCCTTTATTCATTTAGTATACAATATACATAAATAGCGTCAATACAATAATCGTGATAAAACAAATATCTTAAAACTAATGTACAAGAGTCAGTGGAAAAAATATTTTACCTTATAACAGCATTTACTACATAAAAACTTAAATAACTGTTTCTTAAACGACTTAAGGGAAGCTACAGATTTAATCGAATCAGGCAGGTTATTGTAAAACTTAACACCAGAGTAGTGGGGAGAAGATTCTAAAGTTGAGGATTTATGTTTAGGTTATAAAAGGCAGCTTTTGTGTCGGGTATTATAATTATGATTGTCCGAATTAACAGAAAATTTAGAAATATTTTGTTTCATAAAAATTAATAAATTGTAGTTATACAGAATGGGAAAAGTAAGGATATTATTGTTTTTAAATGTATTTTTACAAGAACCCCTAGCTTTGATAGAATAAATTGTTCTAATTATTCTTTTTTGCAATTTAAAAAATTTTTTATTTTTGTCGGAATTTCCCCAAAAAATAATTCCGTAATTGAGAATAGGATAAACATAGCCATAGTATACCATCATAAGAGTAGAAATATCAACTGATCTAGAAAGAATGAGAGTTACAAAATATGCTTTATTTAACTTTTTGATGACGTCTGTTATGTGAGTTTTCCAGGTTAATTTATGATCTACTGTTATTCCTAAAAATTTGGTGGAGTTGGCAAGGTTGCAAGATAGAGTGGTGTTTTCGTGAGAAAAATTGTTATTAAAATAATTTTTTTTAAAGTTCATTAAAAGAGACTTGGATTGATTTAGTAAAAGTCCATTAGCTTGAAACCAACTTTCCAGCTTTTGGAATTCTTGTTTGATAAGCTGTGGAAACATTGATTTATCTGGATGGGTGAAGATAGCAGAAGTATCGTCAGCAAACATAACCAATTTAGAATTTAAGGTCATGGGCAAGTCATTGACATAAACCAGGAAGAGTAAGGGTCCAAGAATGGACCCTTGAGGTACACCATCTGTGATTAATCTATAATCAGATTTAATTCCCAGTGACTGCAAATTTATACACTGTTTTCTGTTGGATAGAAATGAAACCAACCATTTACTGGTCCTGCCCGATATACCATAAAACTGCAACTTCCGAATCAGTATATTATGGTTTACACAGTCGAACGCCCTTGACAGGTCACAGAAGAGACCAGATACATTCTGCGACCTGTCAAGAGCATCCGCAACCTCAGATACAAAACTAAATATGGCATCTACAGTGCTTTTACCCCTTCTAAACCCATACTGATTCATGTTGAAGAGTTGACATTTATCAAGGTAATCATACAGCCTATTAAAAACTATCTTTTCAAAAATTTTTGAGAATGTCGGCAGTAATGAAATGGGCCTATAATTAGTTAGTTCTTTTGGATTGCCTTTTTTTATAACTGGTATCACGTTCGAGAGCTTTAATACATCCGGAAACACACCTGTATAGAGTGAAGTGTTGATTAAATGAGCAAGTGGGATTGAAATAAAAGATGAACATTGTTTTATGATGAAGGGTGATATTTCATCCCATCCACACGATTTGGAAGGTTTTAATTCGTTAATTATTTGCTGAATTTCTTGAGGATCTGTAGTTTTGAAAGATATTAACATGGAATTAGGTCGGACCCCTTGTTGTAAAAAATTTATTGAGCTTTCAGGATCAGAATTAACATTTAGAAGTTTGCAAGTTTCTGTAAAGAATTTGTTAACATAATTTAACTGATTTTTTATGTTTACGGATTCGGATAAAAATGGAAATTTGTCTATTTTACTGGCGGAAGTATTCGTTTCTGTTTTTACAATTTGCCAAGCAGTTTTAGTCTTGTTGAACGATTGTTTAATTTTATTTTTATTATGTAATATTTTAGCAGTTCTTATACATTTACTGAGCACTTTGCTGTACTTTTTAACATAGTTTTTAAAATGCAGATTTGTGGATCGTTTGCTGAGCTCAAAAAGTTCCCGTTTATGTTTACTAGATCTTTTTATCCCACTTGTAAGCCAACCTTTATCTTTATTCCGGTTAAGACTATTTTTAGCCTTAACTAATGGAAAAGACGCATTAAAATGTAGTTTAAAAATATGTAAAAAACACTTATAAATAGTATTTGCATCAGATGTTACATTTAATTTCTGAAAGAAGTAAGACCAATCCTCTGATTTTAAAGAATTGACAAAATTGGAGATATTAACCTTAGAAAAATGTCTTACGTATATTGTTTTTTTATTAACCACAGTTTCTGTATGTTTCTTGGTAAAATATTCACAATTCACTTGAAGATATTGAGTTAAGTGATCAGATAAACCATTTTGTACCACAGAAGGCAAACATAAATTAGGTTTAAAATTTGTTATAATATTATCAATACATGTACTAGAAACATTTGAAACCCGAGTGGGTACCTTTATAGTTGTAAAAAGATTGAATGAATTTAATATTGAAAGAAACTCTTCAGATTGAGAACTATTTTTCAAAATATCAATGTTAAAATCTCCTGTAAGTATAAAAAAGGATTTAGGATTCTTAAGAATAGAATATTGTAAAAGTGAACGCAAGCTAGAAAAAAAAATATCATATGCAATTTTGGTATACACGGTAGGTCTGTAGACACAAAGCACAATTAAATCAAGAGGGTGCGTGATCTGAGCACCACAACACTCAAAATAAGAGTCAACCGTAAAGTTTCCAAGATCCGCTCTTAATTTAATACTGTAATTATTATTCACCAATACACAAACCCCACCTCTTTTTTGTTTCTCTCTGCAATATGAACCGGCTAATTGATACCCATCGAATTGAAAAAGTGGAATTTGGCATGTAGATGGAACCCAGTGTTCAGAGAAACAAACAATATCAGGTTTTGTTCTAAAAGAATCTATGTAAAGATTTATTTCATCGATTTTATTGCCCTGGGTTATCCCTTGAATATTGCAATGTAAAATGTTTAGTAATTTAAGTGCTTGTGTGTCAGCAGTGCCCACATAAGAGGAATTGGTCTTAGATTGTAGTCTTATGCTTTCTTTTGCATGACCTTTCTGTTCCTTAAAAAATATTTCATGTTAGTCTGCCTAGTATTTACATCAGTAAAACTGTTATCAACTATAATTTCTTCACTTTCTACAGAAATCAAACTCTTGGGTATTTCAGCTTCTTTTTTATTTGTTGTGTTGAGGTCATTGTGGAGTGAGATGTCAGGAGTTGTAGGTTGTGTGTCTTGACCCGGTGCACTGGACGTCGGAGAAGCAACATCCCGAGTTCCGATCACATCAGTTGGTAGATCCGCCTCTTTGGCCTGTCTAGGTTGTCTCTCGATGGGATCATCCTTTGAATGTTTGTTAACTCGAGTCTTCTGATGATTCACCTGGGTTTGACTCTTGGTTATTGTAGATGGAACTGTCGGTAACTTTGAGGTCTGGAAGTTAGGTTTACCCATCTCCCACTCAGGCAAACCTTCCTCATTGAATTCATAAATGCCGATCCTTATGTCTAGGTTATTAAACGTTTTGGTTACCATCTCCTTAACTCTTCCCCAATGAAGTCCATCCAGCCCACAACCGATACGAGGCATAGCTAACTTGCAGATCTTATATTCGATGCATTTTTCCTTTAGACTGTCGAGTGAGTTTTGGAGAGTTTGGTAAGTTGGCTTCTTGTAACTTAACTCTTTTGTTACTAAGTAAAAAATATACTGACTGTCAACCTTCAGTGCGGCACAACCACCAACACCTACATTCTGGGACTTAAGCTCTTCAATTCTCTTGAATTTACTCCTGAATTTAGCCGCAATGCCTTTTGCCATTCGTAAATCCCTGGCAACACAGTGAGCCAAAGCATGATCCTCAGGGGCAGAAAATAGATCACGCTTTATTTCTTCGATGGACATTGCTATAGACTGAGTTTTATCATTCGGCGTTGAGTGGCAGTTGTCCAGGGGTGAGAGTGTGTCCGTTCTCCTATCTTTAAGCTTGTCGATGACTTTATCGTACTTAAATTTTATGCATCTGCAAAGTTCCTTTTTCCCCCTTTTATTCAAATGAATACCATCCTTTGAATAATATTTCTCAGATAAGGAAGAACCATCGATAATGAAAACATTTGCATTTGAATGTGCTACATCATTTAAAAAAATGTTATATTCTAAAATATCAAAGTTGACCTTTTGTGAGAGAGATACATCACGGCGGAAGGGTACGGTGATAAGAAATAACGGAGTTTTCATATTTGGCAGTTTAAGGTTGGCGTATAAAGCTTTAAGGTCATTGCTATATATATTATTAGCACCAGCAAGTAATATTGTCAAATCATTGTCATTCCATGTATTACTGTTCATCATAAGTTTATCGACTTTGGCGTTTGGGCATGTAAAGCCACATACCCTGAACTCTTCAGAAAATAAATCCATTGTCATTTTAGCTAAGCCTCTTGCATGACTGTCTCCAATGATTTGAATTTTTTTCTGGGTCTTCTGGTTGTGTGATTTGATATTTGAATTCATCAGGTGGTTTCCCATATTTTTAAAACGTTTGGGCACATTTTTGGTGGTCACAATTCTCGGGTCTTCTGATGGTAAGTTTTCCGGAGCCCTAATTGACTTTTCCCCTGTAGCAAGTTTAGTAATACTTTTCTCTTCTTCAGATTGATTACTTGCACTAGTGTCATGTATTGATTCAGCGAGAGGTTCATATCTGTTCATTGTTGTTACAGGTGGTAAACACGGCCACTTACTGAGACTTCTCAATCTTAAGTTATTATCTTCATTTGCAGCAGTGGAATAAGTACTATTGTCCGATTCCATGATAAATTTACTAGGGTTTGCCTGCTTT